ACACCTTTGGATGCTTCCATGGGGGGAAGAGAAAGATCTCGTAAAAGTTTTGATTGACACGCGGTGGCCTGCAAATGAACAGCTCATTCCGATGCAGCCACAAAGTGGATGCCAAATGAAGCGTGAGGAGACAACGACCAGCGACCAACGACCATTCGAGCATCAGCCATCGGCCAAGAGCCAATGGCAACTGGAACGGAAATGAGTTCCACTGCTCGTGGCGAGCTTAGCTCTTGAAAAATCACCTAATTCATTTAAATAAGCACCAGAATGTCAGAGCCACGGGCAAAGTGAACGGACTCCATTTGCCAAAAAGGACGTTGCCGTCTCAAGAAGTCTGCAGTCGGTCGCCTTGGCTTTTATCTGCAGAGGTCGGATACCAAACGAGGAGGCCGCGAGGAGTCGACAAACTAATTTAAAAATCCACTTGCTAAGCGTTTCCCACCTCCACGGTCCATCCTGGGCCACTCTGGGGACTGAATACTGAGCACTGGTGACTGGGGACTGGGGACTGGCTTCTAGGCTGGAGATATATATATATTTTTTTCACTTCTTGCCTTTTATGATGATTTTGCAGTGCGTGGCAGTTGTAGAGCAAACATTTTAGCCCCCAAGTGTTTAAATATAAAACGGAAATGAGCTTTACTCTGGCTCCTGTCCCTGCCCTGTCTTCCTGCTGGCCCGAAACGTGCCCAATGAACTGGAGCCATGAACCTCCAACATTCTATCATTTCGCTTGACTCAAGTGTCTCCTGCGAGTGTGTGTATCCAGAGTGGAAATGCTAATTAATGACTGAAACTTTCTTTGCCAGACACTTTTGAATTAATTGCTCACCCACACAAGTAATTCCATTTCATTTGCCCTTTTGCTGGGTGAGCGAGAGTCGTCCGATATATTCAAGCGGATTGCCAGACACGAGCCATGTTTGGGATGTGCCTGCACCCCGTTCCCGTTCCCGTTCCCATCCCCATTCCCCTCTCCCTCCGTGGACACGCCCAGGCAAACGTTGAAATTGCATTCCATCAGACGATAATAAAATTGCATTTGCATCGAATGCAAAATAAAAACGCAAATGTATTTGTACAGCTATCCGTTGGATGTGTAAAAGAAAAGCAATTTATGGATTTGATTTCAATTGTTTTGTCATTTTGATTGGCAGCCTGAATGGGCAGCACAACTCATCCATTTGGCAGCTCTGCCAATGTTTTGTGTTGCGCTTAGTCTGTTTTCGAAGTCAAATGTCTCTCTCTCTCTATGGCATTGGGATGTTAAATTCATCATCAATGAACTCTCACCCCCTGCAACCCCGTGTTGGCAATGAGTGGAAAATCGAATTCTTTTTGGTTTCTGTTTCCTGGATGTTTCCGGGTGTGTGTCAGCATGTTGTGCGACTGTAATTAATCTAATTTGCAGCTTGCCTTTCTGGGAAACATCTGGGCTTGTGGCCCAAACTCAGAGCCACAGCCAGAGCAGATCTCTGAATGTGAATGAATGGTGGTCTGTGGCTATTCGTGCATTCATTACAGTGACATTCATTAGTTAATTGATCAGCCGTGGCGAAATGCGAAACCATTCATACATTTTTTCACTCATTTATTCAACCACTTTTTAGCCGAAATTTAAAAAGTGGAAAACATTTTCAGAGCACAAATTATTTCGCACATAAAAACCAGCAAAAAACATGCACACAAATTCTAAAAACTAAACAAAAAAACATGGAAACAAAACATAATACGACACAGACATAACGAATCCAACAGAGGCAGAGGCAGAGTAGCATGAAAGGAAAACTGGGTGTGTGTGTGTGCAAACAGTTGGGGGGAAAAGTGCCCAAAGCGTTTTCACAGTCAATTTTCTACGTAAAGCCAAAGACAAGACAACGCCTGCCATGTGTGTGCCCAGCGAACGGGTTGGCTATGGCTATAGCTGGGTGTTTTGGTGTACATTTTTATATTTTGTTGAGCATGGCACATAAATTCTTTTGTTAGTTCTGGGGAGAAGGCCAAAGGCACGCTCTCTCTTCCTCGCTGCCTTTCGCTGGGCGTGTTTATGTATGAGTATTTGTGTACATTTAGGACAGGAATAAGCATAAAAGCCATTCAAGACAGACACACACACACACTTAAAGTAGTTCTAGGCTGCATGAACCCTTAAAGTGTAGCTCCCCATGCGATCGTACGACTGAAACACTGCCCGAAAGAACTGGCTAATGAATGAAGAAGGATGCACCATCAAGAGGAAATGGCTTCCATGGCTGAAAACCACTCCAAAAATATCGTCTTAAATATTTAAAATCTTAACTCAATTATCCCACTTAGGCTAAGAATAATAATATTTAGCCAGCATAAACTTTTCGTACAGCAAACAACTCGGGTACAGGTGTTTTTTCCTGGCAGCGCTGCCAACACAATAGAAATGAATTGAGGAAAGGAGGAAAAACAAACGCAAACACAAACAAGCACACAAACGAGTGAATGAAAAGCGAGAAGGGGGGAGGGAGCAAGGCAACTACAGCGGAGGCAAATGTAATGGCACTTAAGTGGCCCTGAATCTCAATCCCGATGTTCTTTGCAGTCGAGTGATTTCGCCTTGTTAACAACACAACACAACACAACACAACACAACACAACACACACAACGCACTTGGCCACCTCGTGGATGACGTATACTCGTAGAGGTATAGTTTTTGTTGCTGTGGCAACTGTCGTTCAGGGAATTTCCTTACAGCCATTCAGGGGCTAGGTAATTTATAGAATTTTTGCTTATGCTAATATTTTGGGGTCGAGTAATATTAAATTCATATTTAATGGCCCTTCAAGTGATTTATTTTTGGACAAAAAAGAAACCCTAAATGTATCCCTGGATTCTATTGTTAACTTTTTATCTCTTTGCGGTTCTCGCTTGTGGCTAACAATTCATATTCTTTAATACAATTCAAACTAATTGCATTGTTTCCTCTACGCACAATCCCTCATTACTTATCTAAGCCGCAGAATCCTTTCGACTGGCAGCAGCACTCATGAATTAAGGCCGACATGTCGGTTTGCCCTGTGGCTTGTGGCAGCAAAGAAATGAGAAACTTTTCCAGCATCTAATTAGGTGGAATTGTGTATGCAGTGCATGTACGTCTCGCCCCTCTAATTTGCTGGCAGTCACTCATTTCCGACTAAGGAGCAAAATGGCTGCACATGACATGTCGTCCCCTGTGCAGTTTCCCTCGCTGGAGCTGGAGCTGGAGCTGCAGCCTTTGAGTTCATTTAATTTAGCATATAGCAAATGGCATCTGGGCATGTTCTCTTGCCAGAGTGCAAGCTAATGCGTAGCAAGCAGGAACATTATTATGCAAATGTGTATCAATGCTCTCGTGCTGGGCAGCCATAAGGCAACAAAAACATATTAATAGGTGTCCAGTCTAGATTGTCCTGGGCGTGGCCGATGGCTGATGGCTTTCTAAATGAATAAGAATTAGCCCAAAGGCTGCCAAAGGCAGCGAATTCTGTATGTCATTAAATACAAATTATGGTTATTAGCTGATTTTGGGGGGGCTAGGGGCTGGCAAGCCCTGACAATGATTTGACCTTCTGGGGGCACAGAACGCGCGCCAAAAATTTAAATGACGCATTCGGACTGTGGACTCTGTATTCATAGTCGCTGGCCAGGATGATTTTGGCTATTTCGTGGCACGTGGCCTCATTACAATACGCATTTCCCATTATGAATGCGTGAAAGCGTTGGGACTTATTCAATGTTTGCCGTGTTGACAGGCAGTCTGGCTGGCCACGGTCAAGGAGCTCGCTCAAGTTATTAAACATTGATTACCTATCGATTCAGCCATTGTCTGCCTCTGTGGGCTGTGCCTTGAAATGGAAATGGAAATGAAAAAGTAAAAGGTGCCAGCAAATGCAAATTACGTGTGAAAATGCAATTTCTCATCTCTCCGCAGTTGTGGCCACGCAGTTTGACATTTCATTTTCGGTTCCTGTGCCCTGCCAGCAGCTGGCAAAGCCGATGTCAAGCTGCCTGGAGGACTGACAGGCCGTGAAATGAGCGAAGGGCAAATGAAAAGGGGAATAAATTGGAAGCACAAGAAGGCCTTCCATGCTGCACTGAGCCAGCCTTTCATCAGAATGGAAAATTCCTTAAGGTTTGCCAAAACTTTTAAATGCATTTCCAATGCCAAAGAAAAACTGCCGCTGCTGCTGTCATACTCAATCGAAATCGAGTTATTTGTCAGTTTTATTTATTTTCAGCATAACTTTTCCATTGCATGCAAAACTTTGGGGCTACCTGCGCACAATCCATCTGTGGAAACTTTGCCGTCAGGCAATTAGTAAATTCTGATGGGCTTTTGTCATCTTACAACTGCAACAATTGAGTGGCAAAAACAATTGGATTTATTGATTGTCATCCAAGAGTTGCTGGCAAAACTTGACAAAGTCTCTGAGGAGCTCCCTGACAATTCTAAATTGTATTTTCTATGGGTTTTTGGTGCCAAGTAAGTTGCCTCAACGTGACATATTCGCTGTAAAAAAAACCCAATTCTCTCGAGCAATTGACACACAATCTCTCTCTCTCGTGTTGGAAAATGTATGAAATATTGCGTATACGCCAGGTAATGCTGGTAACAATTTGACAGCTTTACAATCTATTTAGAATCTATATTTGTCAGCCCTTAACTCCATTCTACACCCTCTCTCTCTTGCCCTCTGTCTGGTTGCAGCTTGTTTGCAAAATTCCACCAGAATTCCAGTGCCCATATTTGATATGTGAACCGCGAATCGTGTAAACAATAGAGTAAACATTCCACAAGACGACGATATTGGGTGGCTGTGCTCCGTTTGACTTGACTATTTGGGGGCGTGCATATTGACATTGACCCCTCCCCACACCCAACGGAACCGGAACCGGTGCGGAGTGCCACACAAATTCGCTGTTCTGGATGGAGACAGTGGCCCACGAGACGAGAACGGTTTTGGCTTTGCCTTTGGCCAGCGGCTGTCAGGCCCAACGTCAACCACAACAACATGGCCATAAGGGAACAGCAGCGAACGAACTGCGAATGGTTACAACAAGCCAACAAACTGCTGCTCTTGGTGAGTGATTCAGCAGGGATTGAGGCGCTAACAAGAGTTTCAGCTTATCCAAATTCGATCTGGCTGCTCCTTTGTGTTCCTTTTCCACTTTGTACCTTTTGGACCAGCTGCAATCAATCAACAACAATTTCGAATGCGACTCTATTTGCCCCAAGGAGAGGAGTCGTCGGGCATGGCAAGCATGTCGCGGACAATTAGTCAAGCCTGAGGCTCAACTTGTGCTGTGTGTTAAAAATGTAGTTGGCAACATTTCCTGTTATTATTTCCGCTGCGCGTTTCCGTTGTGGCACTGTGGCACTGTGGCACGCACGTCCTGCACGGCAGAGGGGCGTACCACTAAACTGTGCCCAAGCATCGCGGCAGGAGCAGGGGCGCCAAAAGTTACGCTGACAGTGGGCACGTTCTATGTCTGTCTGTCACAGCTGACAGTTGCACATTTGGCCAATGGAAAATTTGTCCCCCGTGCTACTTGCTGTGTGTCTGTGTGAATGTTGCAATCAACTTTGACATGTTGCCGCGTGTGTGTCTTGTAGATGGTGCAGCAGCATCAGAGGTTTAGTGGAGCTACCGTTGGGCACTGAATAAATCTACATGGCACTTGCGGCACAGACGACTCTGTCACTTTAATGCTACACTGAAAGATGCTCGTAAACTCGTGTTTCGAACTGCGTCTCGTAAAACACACACACAAAATCAGCGAATGGCTATGGGGAAGCGTCGGATAAATGCGAGTGGGTGGAATGGGAGCTGTTAATGGCCCAACTACTTAGCAATGGCAGGCAGCTAAGCCATTAATTCAATTTTAATTATTTTAAGCAATTTACATCATAAATCAGTGATTCAATTGAGCCCAGCAAGGGCCTGGATGGTGTCCTTGAAGGCGACTTCTCAGTTATCACTTCAACAGTTCTCGAAATCCTAATCCAAAGACAAGGCCTGCAAACACACATCGAGAGGCTTCGTTCGGCCTGTCATTTGCATTTGAGTTTGCAGCAATTCGAACTCGTGTTGTAGTCCATAATTGTGTTCGTAGATGGCAAGTGACAATGGCAGGGAAAATGGCAGGTTTTGCTGTGAAACTCCTTCTGCCCAGGCGAGGATAGTTTTCAAATGCTAAAGTTCACTTCTCTGGGCGTTGTCTGCGCTACAGTTTTGGGCGCCATTTGCTCCCAATTATCAGAATGAAATTACAAGTTTTTGCGGGCAACTGTCGACAGGCGAAGTGCAGTTGGGCAGAAATCAGCAAGCCGCAAAATTGTTTTATCTGCGTGTGGGGTCTGTGTATAATGGTCCACTTCCTGCCCGGCTCTTTGGTCGCCGGCGGAAAATGTTGCGTATTTGGCATTTGAATTCTCTTCTGGCTAATTGCTGGAAACCAAAAATGTTGGTCGGAAATGTTTCCTTTTTGATGCAGTTATTGAATTCCCCTTTTTTGACTGCACTCTGCCACAAAATAGATTTAATTCCGGATAATTAATTAAAATGCAGTTTTACTGCTTTCAAACGCGAAAGCCAGATTTCATTTAATCACTCCATTTGTGGCAATTGTTTTGGGTATAAGAACTGATTTGAATTTGCTCTATCTGACTCTGTGTACGCATTATTAACACTCACTCAAATCTGCTGCTGAATGTACGTGTCGCTGGCATAATCCTTTGGTCTTCCTGTTCTCCTTTCTTCTTTGCCTTGTGTAATTTCCCTTGAAATTAAATTTTCAGCAATCCCTTGGGCGCTTTTCCATTTCCGCTCTGCTCGTGTGCAACAAATCAAATGCAGGCTCTCCTCCTTGAAGTTATGCCACTGTACCCCTCTCTGTTCTTGGCCCCTCAAGCACATTTTTGTGCAACAATGCCCAACGCTTTGCCTGTGCTGCTCTCTACTATATAAATATGGGCGATCCTGCCGACATTGCAATTAGGACATGAAGCAAAGTAGTTTTGCGGGCCAATGGCGCACTCTAATGGAAAACCTTAATTATTCTTCGAGCCCTGTCTTCGTTGAGTGGTTGCCCAGTCTCTCTCTCCACCTGTCGACTTTACGTGTTAAGTGTCCATTAGTTGTGTCAATACCATCCACCCTGCTTTTCGTTCTACTCCTGTTCGGTTTTGTGAAATTTCCCAATCAACTTGCACTAAAGCAAACGTTGCCACACATAAACCTCAATGGGAAAGTTTCGATTGAGTGCAACGAAATGTTTTCTAGCTTTAAGCAAAGTCCCAACTTGAACTTGCTTCAAACTTAGCACAGCATAATGCAAAGTCATTTGAAATTTATGCCGCCATAAATATGATTACTGAAAATGTTGTTCAGACGTTTTTTTCAACGCCGTTTGACAATTAAATTTCATCTAAGGAACTCTGTTAACTTTTTAATGCTGAGGTAATTCAATTTAATTTGCTTCAAAGCTGCACCACCTCTCGCTTCGCATACATTAAATGCGCGCCTTTTTTTAATGTCATCGTCAACTAGGCGTATGCGTAATGGGGCAAGAGGCGAAGGCTTGCCGCCACAGTCTGGGAACCGTTGGCACGGCAATACCCTTACCAGGATTCCACATGTCAGCTGGGGAAGGGAATATTTATATATATTTTTCGGTTGTTATTTGTGGGCGGGTAACCGAAGAGTGCTCTTCTCTGAATACTTATGGAATTTACCTTATTGCAGCTGCTCAATCCTTTAAAGAGTATTCACTCAAGTGAAAGCAAGTTCGTGAAAGCCACGCATGGGTTGTGTGTAAAAAGCTTTCACAACTCGCTTTAAATGTCAATTATTTATTACAGTCGGCAACTTAATGCGGGGCCTGCAACTCAATTTGGGCATTTCCCATTATTAGCTGCCACAAAGCGAATTTTCGGCATGCAAATTTTATATGAGAACAGAATGCCATGAACTAGGGAGGGAGTGCCGAGTGCCGAGTGCCTTTCTCCGCCATGGAGCTGTGAGCATGGAGCGTGAATGCCTTTTAAACTTTGTAACCGTGGAACAGCATTTTGGCCCTGCTCGGCCTCGGCTCGACCCATGCATATTGTTTGTCATGTGAGTAATTTATGCGAGTTCAGCACACGCATTCCCTGTCCCTGATTGGCTACCAGTTGGCAGCCACCAGGCCACCAGCCAGCAGGCCCTTCCAAGTGTTGGTAATATTCCGTTCAGGCAACTCTGTGAAATTTCTCTCTGAATGTCAGAGGAAAAGCAACAGCAGGCCAGGCCAGGCCAGGCCCGTCCTTCGCCAGGATAAAATTACTCGTATCGTGTGGAGGTTGCCTTGAACTTAAACTGTAATCAATGCCTTTTCCAGGTCTATGAGTAATTTATAAATCGATGCCGATGCGACTCCGCCACACAGACTGTTTGCTGTCTTTGACTTTTGTGTAGATTGCTTCGTTCGTTCCCATGGCTGTTCGTCCACTGTGTTGTGGTCGCTCGCCACTTATGGTTTCTCCCACCAATCTGCACAACAGATCTACACACAACAAGATTACCCTGCCCGAACAGGTGTTCATTGGCAGAGGCACAGGAGAACGTGGAACGTGCCAAAATGCTCGCACAATCAACAGCCATCGATTGTACTTAGATCGAGCTTACGGAAATGTATACTTTAATCGATTTGTTGCGTGTTCTGAATGTTACCCCAAAAATCGAACCCAGGGGATGGGCAGGGCTGTGTGCGTGCCTGGCAGTCGGCAGCGCCATTAAAGTCAAAAATAATTTCAAATATTGATTAGTGGCCAAATGTGTGGCGCAGCGAGTTGGCTTTATGCCAGTATTGCTTGTTTAGCTGGATTTGTAGTTTATCGAGTAATATCGCATGTTCGACGGCTGCCTCTCACTCTCACTCTCACTCTCAATGGAGAGGCATCGTGGGGAATAACAATTGAAATGCAGCCGCTGGCGATGATGCCGATTCGCATGCCAATTCATTCACAAATTGACTCGACGTGAACACCGAGTACGGTGAGTGGCCGCAATTAATTATGGCAATTAAATTGCAATGCGCCGCTGCCGTCTGAATAGCAAGTGGCTTCGGTTGTGGTGGGGTGGAAAATCCTGGTCAGCTTTGCTCATCTTTCCGGCCGCATTTAATTTTCAATTATTTGCACAGGTCAGCCGCTGGATAACACCCAGAGATGGCTTATGCCGTCTTACAAAACAATTAAGCAAATACGCCAGCGGCCATTACGCCTCCCGCTCCTCTGTAATCTCTTTTCTCTGTAATTTTACATATTTTTCTTTTTCTCTTTATCCATTTTGGTTGATGGAGATTTTCCGATTTTGCCTGCTGGCGCTGGCCCTCACAAAAGTTGAAAATAACATAACAGCGAGCCGCTGGAATCCGATTGCCTTTCCGGCTAATTAGAAGTTCCGCTGCAAGTGCGAGTATCCCAAATGATTGTTCACCAATTTGTATCCGCCGGGTTCGACTCTGCACCCCAGACAATTTTATCGCTCTAAAAATAGGGACAGTCTTTGTGTGTGTGCCGTTTGTCTGTTGGTAATTTAGAGCCCACGCACATTTCGTTCCCTGGGCGGGGTCCTTCATTGTTTCTTTGTTGTGGTATTTATAGGCCAGCTGAGTTCCTTAATAAATTAATTAGGCAAGCGAGGGCCGAAGGCTGCACCTGACAGGTTGTATCTTTATTGTGAGTAACCTTCCTTGGTCTTTGGATTGCAGGTGGTGAACACGGATATACACCGATCACAAAAGTACCGCCATGAATGAGACAGAGTGCGAGGATCTCATTAAATCTGTGAAATGGACGGAACCAGCCAATCTGATCTCCCTGGCCATACTCGAGTTCATCAACGTTCTGGTCATTGGTGGCAACTGCCTTGTGATTGCCGCCGTCTTCTGTTCAAACAAGTTGCGCAGCGTCACCAATTTCTTCATCGTTAATTTGGCTGTGGCCGATCTACTGGTGGGCCTGGCGGTGCTGCCCTTTTCCGCCACCTGGGAGGTGTTCAAGGTGAATATAATATCCAAGGATAAACACATATTTTCCAATGGTTTGTTTCGGCTTGCAGGTCTGGATATTCGGCGATGTTTGGTGTCGCATTTGGCTGGCTGTCGATGTCTGGATGTGCACCGCCTCGATTCTGAATCTTTGTGCCATATCCCTGGATCGCTATGTGGCGGTCACGCGACCCGTCACCTACCCAAGCATCATGTCAACGAAGAAGGCCAAGTCCTTAATCGCCGGCATTTGGGTACTCTCATTTGTTATTTGCTTTCCGCCCCTTGTTGGCTGGAAGGATCAAAAGGTGAGTGCAGACCCAAGGCCCGCCCACAGCTGACCCACAGCTGACCCAATCCGATAAATTAACGAGTGGAACGCGGTTTGTCTCTGCCAAAAAAGTGCGACGGGGTTCGTAAACTGTAAACTGTTTTCAGCACGCCCAATCCTCATAAAGAACAAAGAAAAGACCGCAGCTAGAAGTTTTTCGGGGGCCCCAAACTGTCTGTCATTGACACCATTACGGTTGGAAGTTGTTGCCAAAACCGCAACGACAACGACGACGACAACGACAATGGCAACGACAATGGCAACGACAAGCCCGTGCTAAAGACTGGCTGCAATCTGGCTCATTTGTGCCAAAATTACCGTAAAACAAGACACGAGCTTGTCCCTTTTGTTGGGCTTCCTTCTAATTTCTGACAACATTTTTGGCTGCCACACATGCCTGCCACGGCCATGATAATGATGTCTTTTTCTCATACGTAACAGCAGCAGAGTGTGTCAGAGTCAGAGTCAGAGAAGGAGCACAATTTATGAGCATCCTGTCAGTGGGTAATCAGATCAGCGCAGATAGCCAGCTCCAGTTGATGGCCCTGCCTTTTGGCTCCGTTTATTTTGTGCCCTACATTGTCTTAGGTTAAAGCCCAACGAAGACATTCAGCTGGAAGCTGATGCATGATATAAGGCCTGGCCAGGGCGGACATATCAATCTAGAGGTGTTCGAGCTGCCAGACTCTCACTGGACCTCGGATGGGTGCACATCCGCTGGAAATGTATCCGTTGGGGGATCCGAGTATTCGTGCGACTCAATTCACGGGGCTGCAGCCGCAGCTGAATGCCATTGAATGCAGTTGAATGTGTTGCGTTTTGCATGAATGGCATTATGAATGGTTTGCTTTTGCTGCATGGACCTTTTGGAGCCATCGATTATTACTTACACCCTCTCTCCATTTGCTCAATTCAATTTCGATTCAGCTGCAGCAGGCGGCAAGAAGGAGGGGCAACATGCTTTCACATACGAGTAAGTCCCAGCCCACATTGCCAGCGGCATTCAGTTCGGCTCGGACAGGGGGAGGTTGCCGGTTGGCTTTGTTACAACGCCGAGATGTATGCTACCTTTCGTGTAATATATTTATGCACAACACGTTCCCGAGTATATTTCGCAATATGTAGAGGCCACATCCACGCTTTAAGTTGCATTTTGATTGGGTGAACAGTGTGAACAGAATTTAAATGTGGAAACCCTCTAAGTATCGAGTGTCATAACTGGGCGACCCTTTTCTCGCTCTTTGCAGGCCGTTGAACAGGCGACGTATTCGCGGGGAAACTATACGCTTTTCTATGCCACCACGATGTCAAGCACAGAGGATGGTCAACTAGAGTTAGATAGCATTAAGGAACAGGGCGGAGAGCCGGAGAGCTCCGCCCACATTAGCAAAGGCAATGCCTATAATCCCTACGATCCCGACTTTGCGCCCATCGATGGCTCCGCCGAGATACGGATTGCCGCCATGGCCACGAGCAGCAGCAGCAGCAGCAGCAGCACCACATCATCTCCTAGTCAGTCCAGCACCGAAATGGAATACGATCTGCTGAACGCACCGCCGCAGAACAGAGCCCAGACAACGCCCGGCAGCTGCCCCTGGAAGTGTGAGCTGACGAACGATCGCGGCTACGTGCTGTACTCAGCTCTGGGCTCGTTCTACATACCCATGTTCGTGATGCTGTTCTTCTACTGGCGCATCTACCGGGCCGCCGTGCGCACCACGCGGGCCATCAATCAGGGCTTCAAGACCACGAAGGGTAAGCCAGCAATCACCTGTAGCTAACAGCTCTCATTCTGGACACAGTTTGTTTGAATTGTCATCCACGATTTGTCCTAACTTGTGTGCGTAGCTTAGCCACTCATTTCAATCCATTTACTCGTACTCGTACTCGTACCCGTATGTTCGATAATCTGTCAAATAAGTAACGTAATCACGTAGCTAGTTCATTTTATTCAGCTTAATATCGATTGCTAAACAAAAACAGTTTCCAAAATCTCTCAACGTGTAGACAATAGTGTGACGTCCCCGTTGTCCCCATATTTTATGTTGCCTACCCATAAGAAAACAAAATCAAAATCAAAAGCAAAAAGTGTACAAACTAACACCGAACATAACAGACACAATCACAGACACCATCGTCCTTGTGCCTGCCGAAGGAGTAAGCTTCAGAAATCATAAATCGCCAGAGAAGTAAATAACAATTGTACGTGTACGTGTGTGTGTGTGTGTGTGTAAAAAGTAAACGACTAAATTGACATGGACACATCTACATACCCGTATAAATAACTACACACAGCAGACACCCACACACACACACACACGTACTTGCATTTATTGTCGGCATTTTGTTTTTGTGTTCACAACGTAAATAAACATGATAAATAACATGGAAATAAGCAAAAATATACAAATATATATATGCATATAGCCATAGCCATAGACCCCCGCCCGAAGCAGGAAATCGACCCTTAGAGCCGATTGCCAATATCAGATTAAAACATGTAGATATGTACGTAAGCGGCCCACATAAAAAGGAACCCCAGCAACAATTTTGAAGTCTGTATAAATTGGATTAACTCTGAAGCTCCTGTAAGTGACATGGCTGCCCGCGCTGAAAGCAAGTGAATGTCAATCGAAAATTAACATTGGGCCAAACGCCAAAGTACCTCGTAAAATAATAATATTAGTTTAGTCTCTACCCGTGTAAGTAGGCACGAAACCCAACTTAAATCTGTGAATAATCTCCCGCTTAAGAGCCTTTCAATAGCCACCACAAAGCCCCCACTTGAAGTCATCAAACTGCCATTACTTACACACATCATCCGCTGTCGGGATGGGCACTCATTAAAGTTTCCTGTTCCTTGTCCCCTTGTGGGCAAACTTTAAAGTAATCCCAGCATTATTGTATCAATCAGCTGCTCAAAGGAGAAGTCACGCATCATAATTAGCATTATTTCCGGTGATGAGCAAAAACCAAACAAAAAATCTATGGACATCAAACAAATCGGCTTAGAGGCTGCCGCTGCCGCTGCCTCTGGATTAAATGAAAGAAATTCAGCCATTAGAGCGGGGCCAGGGCTTCTTGGAACACGCATATGTGTATGGTAGATGGCAGACATAAAAGAAACTCGAATTGGTAGACAAGAGCCAGGGTTTTTGTCATTTTGGGCTTCGTTGTTCATCTGACTTCCTCATCGACATAATCCCAGGCAAACATATTCCGTTTGAAGTTGAGGCTGCTGCTGGGGCCACACAGTAAGCTGTCATTAAATGTTTATTTTAATACGAGTATATTGCGCATTTCTTGCACATTACTGGGCCATGGCCGTGTCGGGCACTTTCTTCCGCCTGATCAGCTCATTGGGCACAGCTCTAGTTTATTTCCCCCCTTTAGCTTGCTGGCAAGCCAAGCGCACGCATTTAACGATAATCTGCATAATCTAGAAACAGCCAGCCAGCCAGCCAGCCAGCCAGCCAGGCTAACTAGCCAGCCCCACCCGCTGAGCCGCTGACTTTATCATCAAAATCAATAACCGAGCTTCGTGCAAGTTTTTGGCTGAAAGTCAATGTTCTTCTTAATAGATTTGTGTTCCTGTTACCGAACCCAAAATCCAGAGTTTTTGCCAGAATTGTATGAAAAAAAGCTACAGCTACAGCCGAGATTGAATACATTTTCTTGGCCTGTGTCAAACCTTCTGTTTGCTGCAACTTAAAGAAAGTGTAATTGCAGCTTTGGTATACATTTTCAAGGGTCATTTCTTGAGCACTTCAAAAGCGATGTCCCACATATGGAACCCAAGTTGATCCTCCGAATTTTCTACAAGGCACTGGCTCCATGTGTTTCCTGGCCATTCGTTCTGGCCGCTTTCGACCAAATACTAAAGGAGACTGACTGAGTACGTGCTGCATATAAATACCCGCTTCAAGGGTATACAAATGCATTTCGGGGCCAGCTTCCTGGCTGATGCCAACATGCCTGCTGCTGGCTGCTGGCTAGTGGCTGCTGAGCTGTTTTTGTTTTGCAACTGTCGTGTCGTTAGTTGGCGCCGCTTGGAGCACAGAGCTCACATGGATTTGGCCAACAACAGCACACACCCACAACTCACACAGCCGCACCTCCACTTACTGGCAGAGTCAAAAAAATCAGCGTGTGGCAGGCAGCCTTGAAATATGCTTTGTCTACACACAGTCTCACACACACACGCAGATGGGAAAAAGCTTTGCTAAAGTTGTCTCTGTGTGTGTGTGTGTGTGTGTGTGTGTGTGGGTGGGCCACTTGTCCGCCCCCGTTGCCGGCAGAACGCAACGGAGAAAGTCTAAAAACCTTTCGTGACACAATGCGGGTGTTGCTGATGTTTTTTTCTTGTTTTCTGAGGTGGCTTTTGAAGGTAATCAAGTTTCAAGTTCAGAGACTTGCGCGAGGTTCACGGTGTCGACTGTCGACCACTACAATGTGCTTCCCGATGCCAGAGCCAGGCGGGAGGGGTCGATTGGGTTCTGTTATTGTTAGGGTTTTTAGCTGGCCCTGGCCCTGGCCCTGTGTCAAGAGCAGAACGGAACAAGAGGAACTTTCGTGAGTGCTGCCCGTGGCAGTAGCTGTAGCTGCAGCTCGGCCTGCCTTGACTTGCAGTCGCGGCGAGTCATCGTTCAAAGGTCAAAAGCTTATGACAATCAGACCCCCGCACTCTGGTGCAGATCCACAAGAGGTTTGCCCACTCATTGCTCCATGTTCCATATGAAACTATTCATTAAATGACCTTTAAACAAATGACGAATAATCGTAATGCACTCCCACATCACCTGAATGTTTGTTGACTGAATTATAAATGTCAGATTAATGCCTGAGGGCAATCAAGGGGAAATCGAGACTCCCAGGCATGACCCTGTGGGCGCACAATCCCCTGTGTAGGTGGACTGTGCAGGGACAAACCTGAGTGGAAAACAAAAGTAATATACATTTATTTAAATCAACAACGCCCCAGGATGTGGCACATCCACAGGCCATGGACACGCACACAGGACTGTAGACCGTTTTGCTCGGATTGCGCTTTCATATCCGACTGTATTTACATACATTAGGCTGTAGCTTTCTTCCAACTTCTCTTTTTTACATATTCCTCATGTGTGTATACAAATTGTTTGTTTAACTCTCATTTTTTGGGGGCATATACACATGGAATCAATAGTGTTTCCTTTTTATGTACAGTCGCTCCACATATGCTGGACTTCCTGTTTGCCATCCTGCGCCTGAGCCTTCGTTTGCTCATATTCATGGGCAAACACAATTTTGTTTCAATAAGTTTAATGGGGTTTATGCAAATTGAAATGTTGCACGTTCCGCTTTAAGTGAAGATAATACAAAGAGGGAACTTCTTGAGCCTGAATTTAAAGCTGGCAATCAGTCTGGGAGTTATCAATAAATTTAACAGCTTCTCCTCTTTGCATTCATTATCCACATCATTTCAGTCGAGTTCATTTCGTGTCCCTGTATAATTTGTAGAGCCCTTCCTGCTCGATACCACGACCCACGACTAATAAATAAAATTAGACCAATCAAGCCCTGCCCTCGGGCCCAACAATTATGTAGCCTCGATGCCGACACGTACCAAAGTAGGAAAAACAAATCCCCATTATAAAACGGAACAATATAAATAGACCCAAAGCAAATGAACAAAGTTTTTTAATAGCAATTAATTACTGTGGAAACCACACAAAAGCGAACCCAAATACATTTAATGAATTGCGAATATTTGTATCAAGTTTTTACTCTTACATACACATAGATTTTTGTATAATGGAATGAGACCCGTCCTTTTCGCTATAAATACAACTGCATTGATGAACGTAGAGCAAACCTTATTACATATTTAACATACTCGTACTTACCACTCCAATTAAGTTACGTTTCTCCACCTTAACTCTATTTCAATGTAACAGTTTTGTAGTTAGTTATCCGCTCTCTGTGAAGTCTGTCGGTCTCCAGGCGTGTGTTCAAGCAGAAAAAGAGTGTTTCTTGCATCTAAAATATTTATGCGAATGTCTCTAACTCCATTCACAAATCAACAGCATTTAATTCGTGTTTAATATCTACTCGTCCATGTCCATGTACCATACAAACTGAATGTTTTTACACCCAACACCAACACCAACACCTCTTCCCTCCCCTTCACGTGTGGCTCGTTTCGACTCCCGAAAAAACTCCTCCTCCACTCACTAATTGCAGGCAGTCCCCGTGAGTCGGGGAACAATCGCGTCGATGAGTCGCAGCTGATATTGCGCATACACCGGGGACGTCCTTGCAGCACGCCGCAACGCACTCCGTTCTCCGTGCACTCCATGTCCTCGACTCTGAGTGTGAACAGCAACGGAGGAGGCGGTGGCGGTGGCGGAGATGGCGGAACTGGCGAGGATCATCATCAGGCAGCCTCGCAGCTGGGCACGCCCAAGCGGGCCACCTCGATGCGTGTCAGTCGCCAGCGACCCGAGAAGGTGGCCATCAAGGTGTCCTTCCCCTCGTCCGAGAACGTTCTGGAGTCACAGCGAGCGTCGGGCCAGCAGCAGCCACCACACTCACCCCACTTCACGGTCATCAGCAGCTCCAACGGCCGGCGGGCCTCCTTCAAGACCAGCCTCTTCGACATAGGGGAAACCACCTTCAATCTGGACAGCACGGCCCAGGCGGCCACGGACCTGGAGAGCGGAAATGCGGCTGCCTCGACGGCAGCCAAGAAGCGGGCGGGCAAGCGCAGTGCAAAGTTCCAGGTGAAGCGATTCCGCATGGAGACCAAAGCGGCCAAGACGCTGGCCATCATCGTGGGCGGCTTCATCGTGTGCTGGCTGCCCTTCTTCACGATGTATCTGATACGAGCGTTCTGCGAGAGCTGCATCCAGCCGACGGTCTTCTCGGTGCTCTTCTGGCTGGGCTACTGCAACTCGGCCATCAATCCCGTGATCTATGCGCTCTTCTCCCACGAATTCCGCATCGCCTTCAAGCGCATCGTCTGCCGCTGCGTGTGCACGAGGAGCGGCTTCAGGGCATCGGAGAACTTCCAGATGATCGCCGCACGGGCGCTGATGGCTCCAGCGACATTCCACAAGACCATTTCCGGCTGCTCGGACGATGGCGATGCCGTGGACTTTAGCTGACTAATCGGCAGCTACGAGACGAGTCCGGGTCCGCTGCAGCGCACATCCTCGCTGCCCCAGGACTCCAGCGATGCAGGACTGGGCGACGAGGGTTCTGGCAGCACGCGGCGTATACGTCGCGGCGGCTTCTGCAAGGGACGCGTTCTCTGAACGGGGCAGTGCATTTCCTTTTTTGATACTTTACGACACCAGGCAGCGTCGGATTGAATGTGAGACCCGCCAGCGTCCCACTATACAAATTGTCAGTATTCGCATTCGAACGACGTTGTAACTGTATGGCAATAATTTTCATGTATTTACCTAGACCTAAGGCTATGTTAAAGCTATCTACTTAATGTTAAACAATCTCGTACAGACACATAAGCTGCTCGGAAAGTAATTCAATTCGAATATGAGGCACTTTCGAGTCGACTAGCCGTAAGCCCAGACCCATTATTGTTTTCAGTTCTGTTGTGTACATTTGTTAGGCGCAAGGACAAAACTCTCATCAAGCTGGATACACACAGATACATATAGCAGCTGTGTAAGTCAGCTGCAGTTTCAACAAAGCAAAACGAAATAAAATACAAATAAAGAATACAAAAAGCCAAAAACAAGTGCCGACAAAACGAAATGACCAGCAATTGGCAAATACCAAATATCGGATCAATCAAAGGTAGCCCTTAGGCCCAAGACCCACGACCAAAGGCATTCCCAATTGTCAGAGGCGAAAAGTGAAGCCAACGATTCAACTGGACTGCCCCCTCGGTAGGGAGTCCAGTTGTCAGCCGTTAAGGGACTTGTTATCCCTCCGCAAGCATTTTCACATGAGTGAGTGGCTTCCCTTTTGACCCCATATGGTCTGCTGCTCTTGGACTTCAATGATGCTCTCCATCTTTTGCGCGGGACAGCAACAGCAGAGGTTCAAGAGAGCGGCAGATGGGCCAAGGGCTTTAAAGCCATCGCTTGACAATAAATCAGCTTGTAATTGCTTAAGAGTCAGCCGAGGGCAGGGCAGGAGCGGAGACTATCCCCCGATTATTCATTACTTGTCGCGACTCGAGTACACTTGTAATGAAAATGTATTCAGCAGTTAAACGTGCGTATGAGTAATAAATGCAGAGCGAGCGATGGCGCGGGCATATGGCACAACTGAGAGAGCGTTGATTATGCAAATGTGTGTGTGTGTGTGTGTGTGTTAATGAAATAAAGTTCGCTTTGAAGGCAGCTTAAAGGCGACTACAACTACGACAACATCGTTGAGTGCTTGCTTGTCGCGTTTATGGGAAAACATTTGCATAATTACGCGTTTAATTTGCTAAAGTGCAGGCTGGATGGCTCGATGGCTGACTGGCTCGATGGCTGCCCCTTTTGGCAGAGCGCCAGGCCTGACGCCTGACGTGCGTGCAGGACGTGTCACGTATGGGGGCGTATGAGCGATATTCAATATGGGAAACGCAACACACCTTATGTTAAATTCATGCATACTTAAGTGTCTCCTTGTCTATTCCCAAACAGGCTCGAAGGGCATCGGCTCACGCTTCGAGGAGCAGCGCCTGACACTGCGCATACATCGGGGCAGGGGCTCCAACCAGCACGACTCCATGCACAGCAACGGCAGCACACAGAGCACCACCACCACCCTGGGCACACCCTCGCCGGAGCGGCTGTCCAAATATGCCACGCGTCGCCTGCACCAACACCACGACAAAATAAAGATCTCCGTGTCCTATCCATCCACCGAGAACATCCACGAGCTGACGCACGGCGACTCCGGGCGGGACAGGCGGCCCTCGGGCAACGCGCTCTTCGCCGTGCACTACAATGGAGCGAGTGGCCGCGAGGCCACGGAGTCGCAGCTGTACAGGCAGCAGCATGGAGGTGGCAGCTCCTGCTACCTGCAGGTGGGCAAAGCCCTGCCGGAGCTGTGCAGGCGGCAGAGCAACACCAGCGAATCAGGCGGAGGGTCGGGACACTCTCGTCCGGCCAACAAGAAGATGGGTCGACGCAACATCAAGGCCCAGGTGAAGCGTTTCCGCATGGAGACCAAGGCTGCCAAGACGCTGGCCATTATCGTGGGCATGTTCATCTTCTGCTGGTGCCCGTTCTTCACGATGTACATCATTCGGCCCTTCTGCCAGGACTGCGTCGATCCGCTGCTCTTCTCGGTGCTCTTCTGGCTGGGCTACTGCAATTCGGCGGTGAATCCCATGATCTACGCCCTGTTCTCGAAGGACTTTCGTTTCGCCTTCAAGCGCATCATCTGCCGCTGCTTCTGCTCGCGGCAGAGCGTATCCCTGAAGAGCTCCCGTCGCGGCTCCGACATGTCCGCCATCCGCATCCGGGCACGCACGCCCAGCATCACGCCCAGCGCGGCGGCCCACAGCTTTGGGGACGAGAGCGAGCTGCATCACTCCGAGATGAGCAACGATCCCAGGTGACGTTCGTTTGGGCCCAGCTCAAGCTCGCAGAGCAGCTTGGGTGGGTTACGGAAGACGAGCCTCAAGGTGCCCGTCTACGAGATTTGCCATCCGCTGGTCATGGAAACGGCCTGCTACTCCTACGTGGAGCCCTCTGGGGATGCCTCCAGCTCTGCGGGGAACGGGTCCAAGCGCACCCAGTTGTAGCCACGAGAGATGCTGGCGCTGCGTGGCCTGGGATCTGGTGCGGTTCCACGGCCAGGGCAGCGACCAAGGCGCATGGTTCGCATCGAGTACAGCGATGCGAGGGTCTGAGAGCATGAGAGGAATAGCATGGGTAAATCCATCCCACTAGGTATGCTCCATGAACACACACAACCTCCTTTGACATGAGTTGGGATTAGGATTAGGTTTTGACTTCGGAGGAGCTGTAGTCCGACCCACCACTGTACATAGACATCCCTGTGGACTCCACGTTAGCCTAAGTCTGGCCACAAGCGGCGAAATGTTGTGTAAATATTTGAGCGACATCCTCGCTGTCCTTTGAGAGTTGTACCTTCAAACTTCCGTGTGTAAAAACCAAATTGTTGCTACTGGCAAATAAAACATAACCGTGCTAAAGACGTATCCGCTAAGATGTACTCAAAACAAAAACCTAAACTAAAACATGAATAGTCAAGCGTTAATGTTGTACTCTCAGCTCGAAGAGCTTATTCCGATAAATATCTGTGTGTTGAATGCAATAAACAAGTCCTTGCATACCAAAATAAAATACATAAATGTCCTAGAAACCAATATGCATATAAACAATATACGATTCTCAAGTTAAACAAGTTTTTGTGTGTGCTACAAATAAATGAAGAAAGTTTAATTTATTCGGCAAACTTTGAGTGCGAGTGTCTCTGTCTCTCTGTCGTCCGATTGGGGGCATCGTTTTAATTAAGCGGAAGTACCGGAGCGCCCTGGAGGCAAGAGGTAAGTGCGATACAAGAGTTGCAGCATAAAGAAATTGCTAAGCTGCGCGTAACAAAGGCCAAATTAAAAGCTAAAATGCCTGAGGCACTTTCGCTAACTGAATTAGGGCAGGAAGACAGAGCGAAGGAATGGAATGGAGCCTGGACAATGCGCCCCCACATAAACCAGACTACATGGAATGATTCAGGAAACTAATTTATGCCCGGGCCAGGACTGATACTAACTAACCAGCGTTGATGGTTCTCCCCCAAGGCCTCCTACTCCTCCTGCTCCAACAATTCCGAGAGAAATCCAATTTATTTGCTTCACTTTTCGCTACAAGAAAGTGTTTTATTTGATGGAAATCAATTGATAAAACGCATTAACTGGAAGCTAAAGTTTCGGATTACATGTCCATAAAACTGCTAGACAGCGGAAGTATATATGTATCTGCCAGATATTGTCGATTGTTACCACTTGCTGGTGCTGGGGTGTTGCAGAGTCTCGCCAAGTTGCCTGAAGTACTGCAGCCAAGATTCTCTTTTCGGATTTAATTAATCAAATTGAATTTACCTTTCGATAACAGTTCGAGTTGTTGCAAAAGTGTTATAGGGCCCCAGGTAAGGGCGCCATGGAAAAACAATTTAAACGGCAGGCAGACATTGCCATGGACCTCACATGAATATCTATGCATATACCTGGCAGATTTGCATAAATGTGGCAAAAAGTTTGGGCCAGCGGCAGGAAGTCAGCCGATAATTGGGCTAGCAAATGGAAGTACAAACTGTGTAGATGGCATAAATTACAAAAGTTTTTGATTTCATTATGCCAACCACACATAAACACAAGACAAACAACCAAGACAGTACCCTGGCTGGTCCTAGCTGGTCCTAGCTGGTCCTAGCAGCTAGGCATTTAAGTGCAAAGTTCACATCAGGCATGTCCTGCCGCTCTCCTATCTGGCCAGCTTGGTATCTTTGTTTGCACTCAAAGGTGGTGGATAGACGAGGCCGATACAGAGGCGGATGGTGCCAAAGGCATGCAAATATCCACTGCTTTGTGACAATCGATAGAGCACACGGGGGCCGAGCACAGAGGCACTGGGAGTTGGCTCTGTAATCGATTTGATTGTGTTAACTGAACTTTAACATCACCGTGGATGGCAGTACAAATATCAACAGATGTACAGTCCTGCCCCAAGAACCATTTCCGTTAAAGCTACTCGAAGTTTTGTTTAAAGTTGTTCTACGGCTTGCCCCTTGGGCAGCTTTAAGCTTTGCCGAACAACCAGCAGAAGCAACAAATAAGTCAGCTTGCGAAACTATAAAGCTGATTGACAAATGGAGCGGAAATTAAAACGAGAAGGGACGTGTGAGACGCTTCTTACGCGCCACAACTACATCTGTACCTTAGCGGTTTCGTGTCAAATTTTACATTTTTTCTTCATCTGTCTACAACACTTCTCACGCCAACACGCTCCTTTAGCTCGCCCCCTTTGCTAGAGTCACACACTGCAGAGTCCCCGCAGAGGCAGAGGAACGCGAGAGGCAGAAGCAGAGTGTGAGTGAGAGAATGTGGCAAAAACAAATACAAGCTGCTGGACGGGGTGGGTTTACGCACTGCAAATTAATTATCTGCATTGTGGCCATAATAATGTTTCAATCGGATCCCAATTTGGTGGTCTGATAGCTATGGTCACTCCCACCAGAATCTTCCAAATTGTAAATTTGATAAGTTTTCGCCCTTTTGCGGAGGCGGGGCTAACTTTTGAAATACACTGGTTTCAGTGTCAGCATATAGCAGTCTGGCTGCAAAATTTGGAGGCTCTAGCTCTTATAGTCTCTGAGAACTAGCCGACAAACAAGACGGACAGACAGACGGACAGACAAATATGGTTCAATCGACTTTATGGGGTTGGAAACGTTTCCTTCTGTGCTTTATGCACAAATACAATATACCCTATTTACTCTTCGAGTACCGGGTATAATAAAAGTATTTGCGAGATCCCAGCAGCAACAACCCCACCCTGGGAGTAGATATACGAGCAAGCGGCCAACAAACAATGAACAAGAAAAAAACGTGAAGACAGCTTAGAGAGCTGCAAACTCAGCGAACTGTTTGCACACTTTTCCAACGATGTAACGATGGGCAAAGTTTTCGATTCGAACAGCTCAGACCAGTTCTTGCAATGTATCGAAGTGTTGTCTAAAGGGAATGCTTCAAGGCTCACTTGAGGCTTC